TCAGAATTTCTATGAGGTAGGTAAAATGAATAAGTACTTCATAATCTGTAAACAAAGGAACTTGCTAGTTCTGTCTCAGCATCTCAAATGAGTTATTAAGGAACTGCAGTAAAAGAAAGCAGAAATCTGCCTTTCAGCTGGTGAGCTTGAGTCAGTATTGTCAGTTCTTTCCTCGAACAATACATTTCTGTCCCTGGGAAGTGCATGTAAGCTTGCGTATTACGGAAAGACACCTATTTAAAGGGCATTTTTTTCAGGAAGTACTGCTTTTGGATAGATTTTTAAATTGAGCGGTGTATGAGCCAAGACTGGGTATTCCGTTACTTTCTTCTCAATAGGCTGTGCATTTAGACTCCATTTCTTCTGCTTGTGACTGAGAGCCTCAGACACTCTGTGGAAAGAAGGTTCTCCTTGTTTAGCAAGAAAAAGCGGTCTGGAACAGGGTTTTCAGACTTCTGTTACAGCTGCGGAATAAAGATGAGAAATCAGTGTTCCAAGTAAGTGGTTTTACAGTCAAGGCAGAGTAGACTCTGTAATGCATTATGTGCTAAAATAGGAAGAAATGTCAGGAAAATCTAATAAGGTTAAGCGTAGTTCTCTTTTGGCTTTTCAGCAGAGAATTGTACTTCCTGTGCTGCATTATACTGATCAGCTCCAGTATGCGCAGAACAATGCAGAACGGCAACTTAGATTTTTTTTTTTCTTCCCCCTTTATTGTCTATGCATTGGAATTTTTTGTTCCAGTTTTCTTACAGACCACTGTAGGCTATACATCTTCCATAGGATTAAGTGTGCTATTGTGAATTGTATGGGTGAAGAAAATCTAGCTCTGAATTTTGCATTTTTATGGAAAATATGAAAAAAAAATTGATATGTTATTGTCCTCTGGGAAATAAGCTGCAGCATTTGAATAGTGCATGGAATTACATCTAAGATCGCAAGTCTGTGTGTGGGAGGAATGGCATAGCTACGCTTTTAAAAAAATGACTTAATTTGAGAGTATTTTGTATTGCTTTTTTAATATTTGAACTACCACATTGCTATTTGCTTTTGACTCAGGATAGTAGCTATAGAAATGAAGATTTCTACCAGTCGATCATAATATGCATTTAACTATCTAGTTTCTCAGTTGCTGTGTTATTTTAACTCCCTTGTGTATTTGCACTAGCCAATGCATTTTTGTGTTGTAAAGAAAAAGATGTCTGCTGATACGGTGCATGGCTTTATGCCAAAAAAAGGGTATTTACTCCTTTATTTAATGCAGGAAGACAAGCAGTCTTTTGCTCTTCACTCATAGAATTCTGAAGCTTCCTTGGGTGATGTTATGGAGAAGTCTTGCTGGTTTTGTCTCTACTTAAATAATCCATTAAATGCTGTCTGCAGTTTGGGAGGAAAAACATTTTGAGATTGAAAACTGTAGATTTACTAAATATAATGTAAGCAGGGATGTGAAAAGAAGGATTAAGTGACTTAAAGCCCCACATTTTTAAAACATTCTGAAATAATAATTGCAGACTGTTGAGCACTTTTTTACCGTTGTAGACTTCGGTGGCTGACTTGTGGTTTTAATACATTTTTACAGAATAGCCAGTTCTAGGGACATGTGAAAATTAGAAGCCTAGAAGGAGTTATCTAAATGCAGGGGTTTTTAACATACTTTGGTTATTCGTAACACTTTATTTTTTGATAGATTTAAAAACTGAAGGGTAATAGCTTGTGTGCATGTGTGCCTTACTGCTATTTAGTCAGTTAAAAAGATGGTTGAAAAAAAAATTCAATCTCTATGTAAAGCAACTTGATCGCAATCACAGACTAGTTAAGGTCGGAAGGGACCTCTGGAGGTCACCTGGTCCACCCCTCCTGTTTCCCAGGACTCTGATGCCAGTTCTGGTGTATTATTTTTTTGTTTTGATCCTTAATAGAGTGCTCCTCTGGATTTGGTGCATTGACCCTCTACCATGTATCTCTGCTTATCTTCACTTGCCAACTTTTCTTTTTTGCTGCTTTGAAAGAAGACTTTTTAAGCCGTCCTGTATAAAAGTTTCTCTCCTTTTATTTGCTGAGTGACTATAATGTAATTATCTTTCTCAAGTTAAGGAGAAGGACCCAAGTATGTGTATGGAGCTTACTGGTATGGTTCTTCTATGTTGTTCATGCACACAGTAATGTGTGTACTGCTCTAAAGAAATCCCTTCTGTGAGATTCCCACCTGCATGAGCCTGTGTGATGGGAGATCCCATTATTTTCAGATTAATGTACATTGCTTTGGTCACCTGGGGAATGATACTTAATTTCTGACCTTTTTTTTTTCCCTCAAATATATAGTTATGTTATTCTGCTCCCATCTCATATTTGCAATTTCCAACTCTCCTGTCTGGTCTTTTATCTTAGAATTGAAGCTGAGCTGTGTCTTGGTTGTTCTCATAAAGAAATGAAACTTACACAGTTGTACCATCTGAGAATCCTAATAACCTTTGAACCTCTTGGAAAATTTCAAACAAAATTGAGACATAGTTGTTTCAAGTTGCTGTATATTTTATGAAAACAGGTGGCCATTTAGAGGCAAGTGACCATTAAATCTCTCGAACAGGAAAGACTGAAGTATGCGCTGAGCTACTATTAAACATCAGAGAACTGGGGGTGGGGGCTGTTACAAGTGCTCCAGTGAAAGAAAAAAGCTAATATTAGTGCTTACCTTTTATTTGATAACAGAAATCAAATTAGAAAGCAAAATCCTGAAAAGTCAGGCTTTATGCTTCCTCTTCAGTTTGTTGCTTCTTTTTGAGGTGCTAAGAGTTAGTAAAATAAAGTCTTTCCTTGTCTGCTTTTATGCAGGAATTAGCAACAGGTAAGAACAATATTTTGTGGTAATTTTCCTTTCTGGTAGGCATGTGCTGTGTTCAGGAGTAAGGGACTCCGAATAAGAAGATCCAGAGTGGTTTGCATTTTCTTTGTCTTCAGTGGCATTGAGGGGAGCGTGCTATCATGGACGCTGGCGAGAACGTGATCGGCTTGTCAGCTTTGTTTTTTTGCTGCTGCTCTTACTTTCAGGAATTTGAATTCTGTCATAAGGCCTTAATTTTCTTGAACACTCCTGACATTAACTCTGTTGTGCACAGAACCTGTCAGCAGGCTCCAACAGCGTGGGAGCAGTGCTAATTCCATGAGGTGTGGCTACGAACACCCACTCACCATTTTAGTTTGCATAGACAAAGAGTATCTCCAGTTTTGTTTTCCAGGATGTGTGCTGATGAATTTAGGAGAGGAGATGATTTTCTGTTGATGGAATCTAATAAAATACATTTAAGTTAAAATGGCAGCAGTCAGGATGTGGTGCTTGAGGAAGTGGGAGTAACATAACTGCTCTGTGAAGTTATGAAGCCCGGCCAACCTAAAGTCACTTCTGGGTCCTTGTACTGCTGTCAAGTTCTATAACCTTGACAATTAGCAGGTTTTAAAATGTGTTAATGCTGGTGTTACTTAGCTTTTAATGTAGGTTGCCAGTACCAAACCATTAATTTTAATTGTTATAGGAAATTCAGAGTTAAATGCACAAATAACTGAGTGAAAGTTCCAGTGTACGTTAAGGAGGGATAGAGTGTTAACAGAAACGGTTGAACCAGTTCTGGTAGCTGATTAATGCCAAAAAGAGAAGAACTTACTCTTCTTCCCTGTTCCTGCTCATGTGTGATGTCCTGCCCTCTGCATCCGCTTGGTTCTTCTGCCGTCCGCTCTGCTGCGTCAAGTCCCAAGTCAGCTTACTGAAAAACAGAAAGCTCTCTGGTTTTGAAGTTTTGTGTGCGCTGGGGAGCGGTGGTGTTTGTTCTGTTCCCCCCAGCCCTCATTTAGTGTTCTGGCAGATTTATGAGTTGAATGGGCTTTCTTGAGGAGCCCAGTGAGCCCCAGAAGTGGCTCAAAAAAGGCAACAGGGGCTCAGACCCCAGACTGAGGACAGAGGGAGAATGGAGTGCGCTGTTGCCCTTTGACTAGTGGTAAATTGTTAGATTGGTTCAAGCTGCCCTGTGCAACTTCACCCAACCCAAACCCAAGGAAGCCGACTGAGGTTTTGATAAATTCCTGGATTTTGCATATTTTCGATACTTTTTTTTAATTGAATATTTGTTTAACTTTAGCAGGATATGATCCTGCTTGTCCTTAATTTCTTTTTGGATTTTTTTAGTTTGACTATAGCTTGCGTGTAAGTAACACTGCATGTGCAAATGTTCAAATGCTTAATTGCTAATTCACTAAACCCAGTGTACAGAATATTATTTATTGCAACCTGATCTTATCAGTGCTTCCTATTGCCTTAGTATTGCCTTAGTATTTTGCTCTTTATAAATCTCATCACCTCATTATACCTATAGTAAGAAACAGGGGAAGGAGGGGAGTGATTATGTTGTTACAGGAGAAGTGAAACACACAAGCTTAAATAGTGTCTCTGAAAATGTTTGGTTTCCTGTAAATAACTTTGGAGTAAATTGACATATATTTTTAAAGAGACTTTTTTTTTTAGGTTGTACCTTATACAGATGTACTAGAACTTGTTTCTGAAGTTAGGGAAGTTCTGCTTCCTTTTTAAAACCTTTGATATTCAAGAGTGGGTGTTTTATTGCTCCCCTGAGATAAATTCTTTAGAAAGATTAAGTGGGGGGAAGCGGAGGAGAGAACATTTTTAGCATTGTGTATTCATTATCTGACCACTAAGTAGCTTGGAGTGAGGAATCACTTTGGCAGTGTTGCATAGATATTCTTGTTTGTTATCCTTTACTTAAAATGAGAATATTCTGGGGAAGAAATATTTGAAGTTTGTGTTTTATTTTGCTTCTTAAGTTGATTTTTTTCAGCTGAAGAGAAAGCAAAAAGAATGGTGAAAACTTCTAAGCCTTAATGAAAACAATCTCAGGATTTATCTGGTCAGGAAGGGCTTGTGATATGTTATTAGAAGTAAGAATTTATTTTTCTTTTTATTTATTTATTTTTTCTTCCCCCCAGGTGATTCATGGCAGGGGACGTGGAAGGGTTTAGCTCCTCCATCCATGACACCAGTGTCTCTGCTGGATTCAGAGCACTGTATGAGGAGGGATTGCTTCTTGATGTCACACTTGTCATTGAAGACCACCAATTTCAGGCCCATAAAGCACTGCTTGCCACCCAGAGTGATTACTTCAGGATTATGTTCACAGCTGATATGCGAGAACGAGATCAGGACAAAATCCATTTGAAAGGTCTGACAGCTACAGGCTTCAGTCATGTCCTCCAATTCATGTACTATGGAACTATTGAACTGAGTATGAACACTGTTCATGAAATCCTGCAGGCTGCCATGTATGTCCAGCTTATAGAGGTGGTAAAATTTTGCTGCTCTTTTCTCTTAGCTAAAATCTGCTTAGAAAACTGTGCGGAAATTATGAGACTTCTGGATGATTTTGGTGTAAACATCGAAGGAGTCAGGGAAAAATTGGACTCCTTTCTGCTAGAGAATTTTGTGCCACTCATGTCCAGACCTGACTTCCTTTCATATCTGAGCTTTGAGAAGCTCATGTCTTACTTGGATAATGATCATCTGAGCAGGTTTCCAGAGATAGAGCTGTATGAAGCTGTTCAGGCCTGGCTGCGCCATGATAGAAGACGCTGGAGGCATACGGACACCATCATTCAGAACATCAGGTTTTGTTTGATGACACCATCCAGTGTTTTTGAGAAGGTTGGTGCATTTGAAAAGCAATAGACAGGATTCATCATTTAGCTAGGGCAGCATGCCATTAAATAGGTAAGATTCTCAAACCTATTAGGAGGAACAAAAAGATAGCATTTATTTTTCTAATAAACCCATAGAAGACAAACATATAAAAATGTTGTGATCTGATTATTAGACAATAGTACGCACAGTGGCTGGAGAACAGGTAGGTTTACAACACATGTTTTTAAGTGACTTCATACGGAAAATAACGTCACTTGTATCAGGTTTTATTTCAGTTGTTCTTACTGTTTTCCACAAGGTGCTTCTTGCTTTCCACAAATTGTAGAGCTGCATACAGTATGTAGGGCATGTGTCATGATAATTGTTATCAACATTATCAAAACATAGTGACTGTAGATTTTACATGTTTTAAGTACAGATTTTTTTAAATTTACAAATGAAAACTAGCACCTGCTGTTAAATCTGCAGGGTGGTTTTGTTGGTGGTTGTTGTTGTATCTTCAGTGCTTACGCTGTTACACAGCCGTTGGAAATAAGCCCTGATCCTGTAACGTTACACATGTTTGGTTCTACACAAGGCACGTACTACAATCAGAAGTTACTGATCAGACAGTGTGAAATGCAGTGATTTACTTTAAATATCAGAGGAATCTTTGTAACAGATAATCTAAAATTCAACTGGTCTTTGTATGCTTAAAGAGGTTAAAAGCAAATTTGCTTTTTCTGCTGTTCTGTTGAAGAATGGACAAAAACGTTTTCTGATTCCTGAGAATCTCTTGAGTATTTGTCAACAGAAGAGAATTACAAAACTTCGTGAGCAGCTCTCTCACAGGCTAGGAACAGTAGGAGTGTGCAGGTTAGGAATTACTTAAACTATGCTGTATTGTTTTAACAATGTTAATTTTGTGTGATAGTATACATCTTTAACTTGTGTAATTTTCACCGCTCAGTGAATTAATAGGATTTATTTGTGTTTTTGTTGAGCTTCTGACAAATTAATTTCCTATATATTTTCACTTTGGTATCTAGTGACTATACAGATAAGGCTGTATTTTTCTTGGTGGTTCTAAGGGCTACTGGATCATTTAAGCAGTGATGCTAACTCTTACTTGTATTTGATATTATAAAAGCTATGAATTGCTTCAGAGATGAGTGAATTTTTATATTTTTGGTTTTTGTGTGTGTGAAATGAGTAGAGGAAGTAACAATACGTAAAATATATTTATGATCCTGTATTAGCCTATAGACATAAGCAAAATAAATACGAACGTATTTTAGAACAGTAATGTTTATATTGGGTTAAAATGTTTCCAACTAGTAAGAGCTGAACTCTGCAAGATACTGCGTAGTGTCTTGTTTTTATTAATGCTTTAACCTTATTACTACATCATGTAAGCCCTTCACTAGGAAAACTGATAGGATTCATGGAGTATCCTTAAGGTCAGTCTAATAGAGTAAGGCTTGTCTGAAAGAGTCTGCTTCAGCTCTTTGAGTTTTTGGAATACATGTTCAACCATCGAGCTGTCTTCAGTTAAATTTCTGTAAGCACAAGTGAAAAGTATATGTTGGTCTCCAGTGTTATATTTAGGTATAACTTCTGGAGTTTTTGTATCAGTCATATAAATCCTGCATACAGCAGCGCTTCTCATGTTTTATTCTGACAGCTACCAAATGGCCAGATAGGTACAACCTGAGGAGAGAAGTAATTTTCAGCATAGCACTAATATACCAACAAAAAAGCTTTATCTGTGGATACCCTTTTCATTAACTGGATATGGGAACAGAGAGAAGCCAGTGCAGATTCTGGAGTGGGACAACTCAGCAGAGGAGGGCACAGCTAAATAAGTATGTCATTTGTTGCTGCAGCTGGGAATGTATTTGTGTTGTGCCCTGGTTAGAGAGCATTGAATAATCCAGCGTGACAAGTGACAAAGGACAACTGCAGTTGGAGCTAACATCAGAATATAAACCACACTTTTTTTCTTCTTCTTTTTCTTTAATAAAAGAGTATGTCTTTTAACTGTTATGGAAGTAACATGAGGAGAACTCTCTTCTGTGTGTAGAAGAGAGGAAATATTGGTAAAACGGCTTTTTTTCTTTTTTCTTTTTTTGAGATCCACAAACAGAATTCACCCTTTTCCTGAAGCCAGCACATACTAAATGCCTGGGTGAATGTACCAAATACAATCTGAGGTTGACTCTTACGCTTCAGCGAGCTCTGCATTCGCTATACCCTGGCTGGCTTGTCATATGTACTCTTATGTAATCTTTCTAATACGCATTTCGAAGACGCCTGTCATTGTAGTATATAAATAACTTACATAACTTAACTTTGAAAGTCACAGTAAGGATGCTTTTTGGCCTCTGAAGCCAGTCTATTTCTTACAGCGTTTTTGAAGAGATTTTCTATCTGAGTGGGATGGCTTGTCCTTTTAAAAATGAAATTATGCGTGTCTCTAGATTTAGACCTTGAGTCTGATGTGCATTTGGAGTGAAGGTGCAGCCTGCTTGCTTAGAGTAAACAGTACTGGAAGAACTGCTTCTGAGGTGTGAATTAGATACTCCTTTTGTTCCTCTTCTGTTAAAATAGGTGTAGATGTATGGGGGAAATGGAAAAATAAATGAAGTCAGGGTTTGAGGAATAGTTAGAAAATAAAAGCAAAGTGAATGGGGAGAAGCAGAAGTTCCACTATCTGTGTTACACTTTCCTTTATTTGAAACGCATCCATGGCTCTGTAAATCTTGAGAAAGATTGGAGATAAAAGTTGAGGGCATTTCTGCTAGATCATTGAGTTCATCTTTGTTATTGGAGGCAACCATGGCATGATTTCCTTTCATACACTTTTTAAAGTTCTGTTTAGTTTCTGTGTAGTTATTGTAGGAGGATTGAAATGTTGTTTCAAAACCTCTGTCCTTAAAATTGAAAGGTTTTTATGTTGTTGGTGTCCAGTTTGTAGAGTTTGTGGTTACAAGCTTATGCTGATTCATAAATTCCCAGCTTAAATCAGAAACTCGGTCATCACTAGGTGCATCAGCTTCTGCTTTAGTGCGTTATCTTTTGAGTATGTGCTTTCCTGTGCCTTGAAAATAGTAACTTTTGATAAGATGTCATTGTAATTTTATGTTATTGTGACTTTATCTTTGATAAATGTGTTGAATTTCTCTTTTATTTTCTCATTTAGTTCCGTGTCTAGTAATTCATATGTCTTTACTTATACAACTTTGTATGCTGAAGCTTAGAATAAGAAGTGTCTAGTGGATGAGGTTAGTGGGCCCCTCTTACCTTAAATAGGTGCTGCACTTGATATTTTTATGTTTAATGTTTTTGTGCTGGTTTGATATATTTATTATGTGCTGAACATCTCAGTTCTGGCATATAGACTGTTGGCTCCACTCTGATTTGAGAGATTAGATTTGAGTTAGATTCTGGCTTGATAGTGATAATTTCTCTTGCCAGTTTCTAGAAGGGAACAGCAAAATGTTTGAGGGCATTGTCCCTGCTGCATCGTCCATAATTAGGCTGGAAAACATTCGGCACTTGCAGAATAGCCCTTCAAAGCCCTATGCTAATACTGACCAGTTTTTGTACTGGCCGTGGGGTGTAACTAAGTAGTGACGGATGCTCCAAAAAGGGAAAGTGAGGTACAGCGGTTTGTCTGATGCTATGTGCACTGCTGTTTGGTTGCAAAGTAATTTTGATTGCTGCTGTGTTACAGACATAGACGTGACTTTTTCTATTTGACTGAATTTTGATTTGGAATAAGTATGTTGACATTTGGATAATGTTTTTTGACGGGCTTAGAATATGGCCAAAGATAAGTAGATGTGAAAATCATAAGTATCCTAGTTAGTAGGATTGATGGATCTTTAGTTTTGATTCAGATTAATCTTTAGTAACATACCTTTTTTTTTCTTTTTAAGAAAAAGGAAGAATTTGCTCTCTAGAAGCCTCATACAGGTGCCATCATTATTCATTGAAAAGGTGTAGCATAGCTTCTGTATTATCACAGAATCACAGAACGTTAGGGA